CCTTTGCAACATCATATATTCCAAGAAAAGTAAATAATTTGATTATTAACATTTTTCATGGTGAAAGAAACTTAAATATTTTAAGAAATAAAGTCAGTATTACTTACAAAAATGGTTAGATTTCCTGAAATCTCCTTAGTTTTGTATTAGAAATCCTTAGCATTTTGGGAGGCTGAGGTGGGCAAATCACAAGGTCAGGAGTTCAAAACCAGCCTGGCCAACATGGTAAAACCCTGTTTCTACAAAAAATACCAAAAAAAAATTAGCTGGGCATGGTGTCAGGCATCTGTAATCTCAGCTACTTGGGAGGTTGAGTCAGGAGAATTGCTTGAACTGAGCCTGGGAGGCAGAAGTTACAGTGAGCTGGGATTGTGGCACTGTACTCCAGCCTGGGACACAGTGCAAGACTCTGTNAAAAGAAAAGAAAAGAAAAGAAAAGAAAGAAAAAAGAAAAAAAGAGAAATCCTTAATTTTATATTAAAAGTTTTTTATCGAAGAAGGAATTTAAAATAAGTATTTATGATTTGTTGGCTTTTTTTATTATAATTTCTTAAAAGAAAGAAAGGAAGAAGGGTCAGGGTCAAGAAAGCTGATTAGAAGCAGCTACCTTGTGTGACATTCATGAAGAGGAATAAAAAGGGCAGGTAAATACAGTACATTGAACTGAAATATCCAGGTACGAACACTGGAACTGATTAGAGAAAAAAACTGGATCCATGTAGAACAGAGAAAAGCAAAGTAGGGCGCCCATCCACCCAGGAGTGACACTGAAACAAGGGAACCTCCACCTCTAACCAAGGGAAACTGTGGGCAGAAACCCTATAAGTCAGAAGACATTGGAGGCCAAAATTCAACATTCTTTAAAAAAAAATTCCAGCTCAGAGTTTCATATCCAGACAAACTAAGCTTCATAAGCAAAGGAGAAATACAATCTTCAAGAAAATGCTGAGGAAATTTGTTACCACTAGCCCTGCCTTACAAGAGTTCCTGAAGGAAGCACTAAATACAGAAAGGAAAAACTATTAACAGCAACTGCAAAAACACACTGAGGAGCACAGACCAGTGATACCATGAGGCATCCCATAAACAAGTCTGCTAAATAACCAACTAGCATTATAATGATGGAATCAAATCCACACATAGAAATACGAACATTAAATGTGACTGGGCTAAATGCCCCAATTAAAAGATATAGAGTGGCATGTTGGATAAAGAACCATGATCCATTGGTATACTGTCTTTAAGAGATGCAGCTCATATTGTAAAGACACACATAGGCTCAAAATAAAGGGATGGAGGAAAATTTACCAGTCAAATGAAAAACAGAAAAAAGCAAAGTTTGCAATCCCAGTTTCTGGCAAAACAGACTTTAACAAAGATCAAAGGACAAAGGGGACACTACATAATGGTAAAGGATTCAATTCAAAAAGAAAATCTAACTACTCTAAATATATATATGCACCCAATATGGGAACACCCAGATTTATCAAGCGAGTTCTTAGAGACCTTCAGAGACTTAGACTTCCACATAATAATAGTGAGAGACTGTATTAGCTGGTTTTCACACTGCTATAAAGATACTACCTGAAACTGAGTAATTTATAAAGAAAGGAGGTTTAATTGACTCACAGTTTCACTTGACTGGGGAGGCCTCAAGAAACTTACAATCATGGAAGAAGGCAAAGGGAAAGCAAGGCACATTTTACACAGTGACAGGAGAGAACAGAGAGGGCAGGGGAAATGCCAGACATTTATTGAACAACCAGATCTTGTGAGAACACCCTCAGCATCATGAGAACATCATGAGGAAACCTGCCCCCATCACCCAATCCAGGTCCCTCTCTCAACATGTGGTGATTACAATTTGAGATGATATTTGGGTGGGGACACAGAGCCAAACTATATCATTCTGCCCCTGCCTCCTCCTAAATCTCATGTCCTTTTCATATTTCAAAATCAATAATGCTTTCTCAACATTTCCCCAAAGTCTTAACTCATTCCATCATTAACTCAAAAGTCCAATTCCAAAGTCTCATCTGAGACAAGTCCCTTCTGCCTATGAGCCTATAAAATCAAAAGCAAGTTAGTTTCTTCCAAGATACAATGGGGGTACAGGCATTGGGTAAACATTTCCATTCCAAATGGGAGAAATTGGCCAAAACAAAGGGCCACAGGCCCCACGCAAGTCTGAAATCCTTCAGGACAGTCATTAAATCTTAAAGCTTCAAAATCTCCTTTGACTCCATGTCTCACATCCAGGGAACACTGATGCAAGTGAATAGGCTTTCCACAGCCTTGGGAAGCTCTGTCCCTGTGGCTTTGTGGAGCACAGATTCTGCATCTGCTTTGATGTGCTGAAGTTGAGTGCCTGTGGCTTTTCCAGGTGCACAGTGAAAGCTGCTAGTGGGCCTATCACTCTGGTGTCTGGAGGATAGTGGCCCTCTTCTCACAGCTCCACTAGTCAGTGACCCTGTGGGGACACTGTGTGGGGATTCCAATACCACATTTCTCTTTCACACTGTCCTAGCAGAGGTTTTTCAAGAAGGCTCTGCCCATGAAGCAGACTTCTGCCTGGACACCCAGGCATTTCCATACATTCTCTGAAATCTAGGCAGAGGGTTCCCAAAACTCAATTATCGTCTTCTGCACAACTGCAGATCCAACACCATGTGGAAGCCACCAAGGCTTGGGGCCTACACTGTCTGAAGCAATGGCCCAAGCTGTTAACATTTGGCTCCCGATTGCTTGTGCAAATTTCTGCAACCAGCTTGAATTTTTCCCTAGAAAATGGGTTTTTCTTTTTGGTCACATAGTCAAGCTGCAAATTTTCCAAACTTTTATGATATATTTGCTTTTAAACATAAGTTCCAATTTTTAAACCATCTCTCTTAAGTTGAAAATTCAACAGATCTCTAGGAAAGGGGCAAAATGCCACCAGTTTCTTTGCTAAAGCATAGCAACAGTGACCTTTGTTCCTGTTACCAGTGAGTCCCTCATTTCCATCTGAGACCACCTCAGCCTGGACTTCATTGTCCATATCACTACCAGCATTTTGGTCAAAACCATTCAACAAGGCTCTGGGAAGTTCCAAACTTTCCTTCATCTTCCTGTCCTCTTCTGAGCTCTCCAAACTGTTACAACCACGGACTGTTACCCAGTTCCAAAGTTGCTTCCACATTTTCAGGTTATCATTATAGTAGTGCTCAACTATATTGGTACAAATTGCCTGTATAAGTTCATTATTACACTGCTATAAAGATACTACATGAGACTGAGTAATTTATAAAGAAAGGAGGTTTAATTGACTCACAGTTTCACAAGGCTGGGGAGGCCTCAGGGAAATGACAATCATGTCAGAAGGTGAATGGTAAGCAAGGCACGTTTCATGTTTTATACGATGGCAGGAGAGAGTGCAACAGGGAAACTGCCACTTTTAAAACCATCAGATCTCATGAGAAATCCCACACTACCATGAGAAAGCATGGGGGAAACTGCTTTCACGATCAAGTTACCTCTCACCAAGTCCCTCCCTTAACATGTGGAGATTACAATTCAAGATGAGATTTAGATGGGGAAACAGTCAAACCATATCAGAGACTTTAAAATCCCACTGACAATATTAGACAGATCATCAAGACAGAAAATTAACAAATACATTCAGGACCTGAACTTGGCTCTAGATCAAGTGTACCTGATAGCTATCTACAGAAATCTCCACGTTAAAACAACAAAATATACATTCTTCTCATTGCCACATGGCATTTACTCTAAATTTGATCACAGAATTGGAAGTAAAACATTCCTCAGCAAATGCAAAAGAGCTGAAATAAAAACAAACAGCCTCTTGAACCACAGCACAATCAAATTAGAACTCAAGATTAAGAAATTCATTCAAAATGTCGGAACTACATGGAAATTAAACAACCTGTTCCTGAATGACTTTTGGGCAAATAATGAAATTAATGCAGAATCAAGAAGTTCTTTGAATCCCCTCCCACAAGGTGGGAACTCCCTCCAGGATTTCCCCTCTAGAATCCCCTTCCACACTCTTCGTGGAAGCCTTTCTCCTCTTCTCCTTTCCTTCTCTTTTCTCTACCTAAATGAAATCACCTTTCTGAAAAAAAAAGAGAAGTTCTTTGAAACTAATGCAAACAAAAAGGTAATGTACCAGAATCTCTGGAACACAGCTAACACAGTGTTAAGAGGGAATTTATTGCACTAAATGACCATATCGAAAAGCTAGAAAGATCTCAAGTTGACAACCTAACATTACAACTAAAAGGTCTAGAGAACAAAGAGCAAGAAAACCCCAAAGTTAGCAGAATACAAGGAATAACCAAAATCAGAACTGAACTGAAGGAAGACAGATACACAAACAGCCCTTCAAAAGATTAATGAATCCAGGAGCTGGTTTTTTTTAAAAAATTAATAAAATAGACCGCTGACTAGACTAATAAAAGAAGAAAAGAGAGAAGCTTCAAATAAACACAATCAGAAATAATAAGGGGATATTACCATTGACCCCACGGAAATACAAACAACCATCAGAGAATATTATAAACACTTCTATGCACATAAACTAGAAAATCTAGAAGAAGTGGCTAAATTTCTGGACACATACAGCCTCCCAAGACTGAACGGGAAGAAATTGAATGCCTGAATAGACCAATGATGAGTTTCGAAATTGAGGCAGTAAAATAGTCTACCAACCAAAAAGAAGCCTAGGCTCAGAAAAATTCACAGCTGAATTCCACCAGAGGTACAAAGAAGAGCTGATATCATTCCTAGTGAAACTATTCCAAAATATTGAGTAGGAGGGACTCCTCCCTAACTCATTCTATGAGGCCTGCATCATCCTGATAGTAAAACTTGGCAGAGATACAACAAAAAAAGAAAACCTCAGGTTAATATCCTTGATGAGCCGCGCCCAGCTGGGTCTGGACGGGCGGGCGCTGAGCTTCCTCAGCACGGCGGGGCCTCACGCCGGGATCATGGGGCGGCTGCAGCGGCCGGGGCCGGGGTCGGAGCAGGCCATGGCCGGAGCAGGCCATGCTGGGCCGGCGGCACGCCTTCGCCGTGGACGGCCGGGATGGGGCTGGCGAGGGCCTGGCACGGGGCTGCATAGTGCCTGGAGTCACCAGCACCTACAGACGGATCCCAGACACTGCCCACGGGTGCTCATCCTGGGAGAGAGGTGACAAGCTCAGTTTCTCAAACGGGCTTCCCGGGACTCAGGAGTGGAGACGGCAGTTGGGGACAGGCCCCTGGCCGCCTTACCGGGCCTTTCTCAGGACTCCCTGGACTTTGAACCCTCAGGGAGTCCTGAGCCCCTGGCCCAGGTAGGCGGGCTCCTGGCCAGCCAGAAGCTAGAGCAGGTGCTGGAGCGGTCCCACCGGCTCCCAGCAGCTCCCGCCGGCTCATCAGGACACCGCCCTCTGCAGCCGCCAAGCAAGCCAGAGCGTGAAGTGCCCCTTTTTGGAGCAGGAGAACAGGAGTCCACGGAGGCAGACACGGACCTAGAGTCAGGCCTGGAAGAAGAGGTGGTGGGGGGCCTGGGGCCTGGAGCCTGGGCCTGCCTCCCCGGGCAGGGTCTTCGATATCTCGAACACCTGTGTCTGGTGCTGGAGCAGATGACGAGGCTCCAGCAGCTCTATCTGCAGCTTCGGATCCAGAGGCCCCCAGGGGGGCAAAGGCTGCTTCACTCCCAAAGGTGGAGGTGGCCAGTACCAACCCTTCCAGGCTGCCAGAAGCCCCAGTGGAGCCAATGTACCACTTGCCATCTTCCCAGGGATACAAGGATCGAGTCCAGGGATCTCCCTGAAACGCCTCAGTCCCACCCCCACCAGAAGGCCTTTATGCCGTCATTAGTGGTTAAGAAGCAACGAGCAAAAAACCTGACTCTATGCTGAGACCTCCCCGTGCACCTGGTGACCCTGGGTGGAGGGGACTTGATGCGAAGTCTTCCTCGCCCTTTGCCCTGTTGCTGCTTCTCTGCACTGCCAGGAAAAGCTGCTGATGGCTGCCCTCCTCTTTGAGTCGAGGGCTGAATCTTTGTCCTCTAAGCAGTCTGGTCAGGAGCCCTGGTTTCTTGTGAGGCTTCCAAGATGCAGCAGCTGCAGGGCTCCTCCTCCTCACCAGAAATCTCTGGGTTTCCACAATGCGAACTCACTCATGATCAGGTGTCTGTGGAGTGTTTTTGGCACAGTGACCTGTCTGGGCTCAGCATGTTGCAGATGTGTATTTATGCACAATGATATGCATATCTCTGTGTGACTGTCAGTATTATAAGCTGGTTGGATCCTACCATCTCTTCTGATACAATACATCCAAAGGGTTGATAATATGGGCAAGGTCACTGCAGAAGGATGGAACTGACCTTTATTCCCCAGTGGGCAGTTACTGAGCTTTCCTCCTCAGAGCCAGGCATCCCTGGGACAGAGAACAGTGTGGCCTTGGCTGCCTCTGCATGGAGTCACCCAGGACCCCTGAAGACTGCACCAGGAATGAGGAAGATCAGGAACAACATGGGAACAGAAGAGTAACTTGCAAAACCAGTGCTCAGCTTTTCTGCTCCGTACTAGCGTTTACTGGTCCTAACTCAAACCAGGTGACTGTACTAGTTCTTAGACCCTAAGTTAACCTTTCTGAGCCATAGCTTCCAGCTGGGAATAATGATGCCTGCCCTACCTACCTCACAGACTTGTTATGAGGATAAAGTGAGATTAAACTGCCTCAAAGTAAAAAAAAAACCTCACAGACTTGTTATGAGGATAAAGTGAGATTAAACTGCCTCAAAGTACTTTGTGAACCTTAAGTGAATAGGAAAAGGCTG